AGACAAGTAATTTACGCGAAGGTCAGAGGAATGTTGCCGTCACGGTTCCCAGGTCCGGCTCTCAAGGGACCAGCCAACAGGAAATTCTCTTGGCCTTGACGTAGCGGCTGTCAACTAACACAAAAGGTAAACAGGTAATTTACCTGTAGCCGGTTTCCAGAGTTCTTCGACAAAAACCCACCCTGAGGCCAGGCTTGTCAGGGAGCCGAGCGGACAGCACGCTGGGCTTGTGATCCTGTGGTCCTGGGTTCGATCGCAGGCGCCGGCGAGAAACGATGGGCAGAGTTTCTTTCACCCTATGCCCCTGTTACCTAGCAGTAAAATAGGTACCTGGGTGTTAGTCAGCTGTCACGGGCTGCTTCCTGGGGGTGGAGGCCTGGTCGAGGACCGGGCCGCGGGGACACTAAAAAGCCCCGAAATCATCTCAAGAATCACGATAACTTTAACTAATCTGAAAGGTTAGTTACACTTACAACCGGGAAGTAAGGGGTCTAAGTGAATTATCACTTACAACCCAAGTGAATTATCACTTACAACCGAAGTGAATTATCACTTACAACCAGGAAGACCCGCCACTTTCTGCAAGAACTTTTCACAATTATCTTGAGAACACACACTTGTGTTCCAGCTTTCTCCCGTACCTTCTTTTCTGGCAATATTTGTTATATTTGATAGATGGAGACTGAAGAACCGTGGACCTCTGATAGCCATAGCGTTCCCTGACAGCCTATCACACCTCTATTCTTCACTCGGTCCATTCTGCATTTCCTGCCATATCTCTCGCTCCAGTAAGTTGTCATTTAACTGAACATATTTGGAATACGGCCTGGCCGTATCTTCCACATATATATTATGGGTTAATACATCCTGATACCTTTCCAGAGAGTACATTATGAATGCTTTGAGACGGTCCCAGTAATTTAGGTGTTTAATTCAATAATATTGCCGTTTGTTTCCCTATGTTGATTAAATGTGAGCCCGTTCCGCATTATTCGTAAATCTGACTATATACTATCTATATATATATACTATATATACTATATACTATATATACTATATACTATCGTGTTATTTTATGATAATCCACATATCAGAAAATAAAGAAACTACGACGTTTCACAGTGACTCCTCCAAGCAACAGCCTAGTGGACCAAACTCTCACAAGTCAAGACCGGGCTTGGGGAGTAGAACTACTCCCAGAACCCCATCAACCAGGTATCAAGCAGTGAAAGCCTCATGGATGAGGGAGGAGTTATCAGGGGAAAGCGCCAAGTCTTTACGACTACATAGCACTGGGAAGGGGTCAGGATAAGGATTTGGGATGGGACGGGGAGGGCAGGAATGGTGTCCAACCACTTAGGAGACGGTCGGGGATCGAACGCCAACCTGCAAGGACGCGAGACCGTCGCTCTACCGTCCTGCCCAATTGGTTGGGTAATGACTAGTTTTTACAGTCTTACACGAGCCAACTTTACAGGCTAATATATCAACCTGGGGCCAGATTCACGAAGCAGTTACGCAAGTACTTACGAACGTGTACATCTTTCCTCAATCTAGGACGGCTTTGGCTACAATTATTAAACAGTTTACATACATGAAAACTTATCAATCAATTGTCGTTATTGTTGTAAACAGCCTCCTAGTGCTTCGGAACTCATTAACTGTTTAATAATTGTAAAAAAAAAAAAAACGACAAAGTTTGAGCAAAGATGTACAGGTTCGTAAGTGCTTGCGTAACTGCTTCGTGAATCTGGCCCCTGTCCCCTAGACAAACGCATCGTATATTGGCGTAAAAATCTCCCAACGTCAAAATATGACGTACTGCACTGTACTGTAAATCATAAGGGCTCGTAAAATTGACCGTTTTCTATTCGTGGGGGTCCGCTGTTAGGTCAGTCTCGGCCAATTCAGTAACCTAATTTGGGTGCCGGAGTGACTACACGAGGCTGGCGGTTGTTGACGTCGCTTGCAGAGAAAAACCCCAAATGAAGTAAACATGAAGTAGTGATTTGAAAGCTTAAGTGTTGTGGTGCAAGGACAGTGCCTCGGGGTGGCAGAGCTCGCCGTGCTACGATTTCCTTGTTACTTTTGTTTTTGATTGGTTGTCAGGAAATTAAATATCTATTGTCCCCTCCTTCCCCCTTTAACTGTTGCGGGTTTGGATTTCTCTTTTCGCGCATAAAATGATCTCGGTGTACTGGAAATATATACATTATATATATAATATATATAATATATAATATATTATATATATAAAAGGGGGGGTGGTAGGAGAAGCGAACACTCTTTCGTTTTCAGAGTTAAATGGCAAGTTTTCCCCCGAATGCTCTGTGTTCCCTTCTCTGAGGTTGTGGGTCCCTATAATTGCACCAGAGATGGTACCCCCCTTTATATATATATATTATATAATTGTACTTTGATAATGTCTTTGTTAGCACGAAAGCACTCATTTGGGTTTCATTTTTCCTTGGTGGTTCAATATTTTCACATCGTTCATCACGTGGTAATTTCTTTGCGATTTACACTATTAAGAAGCATTAAATATGCCAGAAAAATAGAAGATAGCAGGGAAAAAAAAGAGGCGTTATCATCACCACTTATATGATAATAGTGGAACTATCAAACTGACAGGAACCCCTGAAACCGGCAACCTCAAAGAACAAGGTCACAGATTCACGAATAAAAAAAAACTTTTGCAAACAGAGTGGTAGACGGCTGGAACAAGTTAAGTGAGATGGTGGAGGCCAAAACCGTCAGTAGTTTCAAAGCGTTATATGACAAAGAGTACTGGGAAGACGGGACACCACGAGCGTAGCTCTCATCCTGTAACATCACTTACGTAATTTCTCTCTCCCCCTCTCTCTCTCACACACACACACACACACACACACACACACACACACACACACACACACACACACACACACACACACACACAGCAGCCCGTAACAGCTAACTCCCAGGTACCTATTTACTGCTAGGTAACAGAGACAACAGGGTGAAATAAACTCTGCCCATTGTTTCTCGCCGGCGCTGGGAATCGATCCCCGGACCTCAAGATTGTGTGCCCTGCGAGCTGTCCACTCAGCCACTGCCCCCTGTGCGTGTGCGCGCGCGCGTTGTGTTTTTTCACTCGTCTCTTGGTTCTAGACAGTCGCCTTGTGAGTGATGCCAACCGGAGAATACAAGGCCTTACACTGGAATCTGAGGATGTCCCCTTGAACAAGATTCTTGGAATATCTCACCCAAATGGCCGACCACTCACGATCTTCAAGAAGAACTTGATAAACACCTCCATATGACACGTGAACAAGCTGGGTTTGATTCATACGTCAGGGTACGAGCACCTGCAGCTAACAGTCTGCTTGACCATACCTACCAACCATAGGGCCCTGGTCAGAGAGACAGGGTGGTGTGGTCATTGATCCTAGGAATCAACACAGGCCAGACAAACATAGGATATAACACCTTAAACAGCACTTGCGGGATATCCACCCAAATGAAAGTTGTTTTAAAACAGTGTACATTTTCCACTGTCATCAGAGCTCTTAACATGCAACAAAAATATAATTATATATATATATATATATATATATATATATATATATATATATATATATATATATATATATATATATATATATATATCCCACAAATTGAAGAACAAATCAAAGCAGGCAAAGCGGTAAACAACATTTATGAGCCGTTTCCTTGATACACCACCACTTCCTTGGAGAGTCACAAGGCACCAATGCCTGAGACGTTGGTCAGTGCCGCATCTGGCCGACGTGGGGGGTAAGACACTGTTGCCAAAACAAAGTCAAAACAAGGTTGTCTTCATCATCCTGTGTAAATTGAATCACTACTGCTTCTCAGGGAAAACAGGTGCTCCCTTTCTTTCTTGCTCTCTCCCTCTCCCTCTCTCTCTCTCTCTCTAGCAAAGCACAATTCTTTCTATTAAATAAACCTCAGTCACATAAAAATTAAATAGGACCTTTGATAACGATATTAATGGGTTTATGCTCGTGAAATTCAAGAGCAATTGTCAAGTATTTTAAGGCAATCAGTAGTTTTCGAACCAGTGGGGATCCACAGATAATGGAGAAATATTGAAAAAATAATATTGTAAGTCAATAGTCATAAACGTGGCGTAGAGGAATGCTGATAGGTCCTAAAAATGTTCAGTGATCTTCATTATTTGATGGAAAGTTCTCTGGAGACTTGACAAGGTTAGTAATGAATATTGTCAAGACTGGAAAATATAGATAATAGAAAGAACTCCTCTTCCAGTAAACCTCCCTCCCCCCCCCCCCCCCCACACAGCTTCTCCCCCCCCCTCCCTCCCACACAGCTTCTCCCCCCTCCCACACAACCCTCTCCCTATGCCCCCACCCACACAACCATCTCCCCTTGCCCCCCTCTCCCACACAGCCTCTCCCCCCTTCCCATACAACCCTCCCCCCTCCCTTCATCCCCCCTCGACCCCATCCCTACCCCTCCCCCCCCGCCCACGTTTGTCAATAACAAACTCTCTCCCTCTCGTTCCGGACACGTTCTAAGCGTCATACCTCAAGTGACCGGGCCGCCTGACCCCAGGACCTGCTTGTTAGGGACCTCGTCGTGACCTTCCACACCAGCAAAAGGTCCCAACAGACCCTTAACATCGCCAAAAAAAAAAGGAAAGTCACCGAGACCATTTTAAAACGCAGCGCTGGGCGGCCCAGACCGCGCCCAACCTTCTTCATATTTCTAAGACCGATTCCCTCGAAACCAGGAGCCGAATCCGGTTAAAAATGGCCTTCTCCGGACACCCTGGGCCAGCAGGGAGGGCCGGATACGCGAGCACCGCGTCGCCGGACATCGGAAACGAGAGAAGGGCTTCGGATATGAGCCAGAGACCAAGAGGACATTCGATTACGGAACAAAAACCATTTACAAGCATTTTTCACCATAACTAAACGCTATTTTCTTCCCCTTTCTCAGTTCCCATCTTTACTCACCATGTACAGGAGGTTGAAGATCATCACGATGAACTTGAGGAACGTGTAGCAACAGACCCCCATGGTTGTGGATTTGGTTTAAGGGTTTAATCCAACAAAAAAGGTCAAGACACAACGCGCGCACGACCGCTCCGCACGACTACCACCTCAAGACTGACGGCCCGCCAGGCTTCAAGGGGGGAAAATGGCTCCGTTTGGGCTCGGGGCCAACATGCCCTACCGGACCCTCCTTAAACTCTCCTCCAACTGTCAAGACGATAGTACTATCGCGTATTACCTCATAAGACAATATAGTATAAGATATATTATGCGACAAATCTCTAAAATAAGCTCCTGTGAATTCCTCTCTCCCTCTGATTAGGCTACAGCATATTTATTTCATATATTTGTATATATACACTAATAGTTACAATGGGTTCTGTTCATACACGTATAAATGTCTATTAACCGGAATATACATTCATTTATAAATGCATCAATATCATACTACGTCGTTTATTGAACAAGATGCGAGTGAAACGGGACATCGTACGCCAGGCACCAGCGCATGTTCCAGCAGTTGTCATGGCAGCGTCGGCGCCTCAGCCTTTAAATTATTTCATCAAAGGTCAATAGCTTCATTCCGGTCGTGAAAATAAAGTTTCGTACACGAACCAGGATATTTACCTAGGATTTCTGGGACTATGTCACCCCAGGGAATCAATATTCTAATTTATCATTATATATAAATTCTGGTATTTATACTTTCATTAACAATGATGTACATGAGCAATTTATTCAGCCTGTCCTAAATTGAAAAGTTCTTGTAGTAGGTATTTGGTCATCCTAAATTGAAAGTTCCTGTAGTACGTATTTAATGGAAAGTACCAATGTGTAGTGATGGTCCACCAGACAATTGATTTTCGTATTAGTGAATTTGGATAAACCGGAAACTTCTTTAACCACAACATAAAAATATAAGATCAAACTTCTCCAACAATCCTAGGCCTTACCAGGCCTGTAAGACAAGACTTACCAGGCCTGTCAGACAAGACTTACCAGGCCTGTCAGACAAGACTTACTAGGCCTGTCAGACAGACTTACCAGGCCTGCCAGACACACAGGCCTGTAAGACACACTTACAGGCCTGTAAGACACACTTACAGGCCTATAAGTGTGTCTTACAGGCCTGTAAGTGTGTCTTACAGGCCTAGTAAGTCTGTCTGATAGGAGTGTAAGACAGACTTACAGGCCTGTAATTAAGAGTATTACTGCCACAAATGTGCTTAGCCAAGTACTCATACAACTGAACGAATATTGAAACTCAGTTCACTAGCCTACAATGAGGGTACTCAGTTCACTAAGCTACAATGAGTGTACTCAGTTCACTAGCCTACAACGAGTGTACTCAGTTCACTAGGCTACAATGAGTGTCCTCAGTTCACTAAGCTACAATGAGTGTACTCAGTTCACTAGCCTACAACGAGTGTACTCAGTTCACTAGGCTACAATGAGTGTCCTCAGTTCACTAAGCTACAATGAGTGTACTCAGTTCACTAGCCTACAACGAGTGTACTCAGTTCACAAGGCTACAATGAGTGTACTCAGTTCACTAGGCTACAATGAGTGTACTCAGTTCACTAGCCTACAACGAGTGTACTCAGTTCACTAGGCTACAATGAGTGTACTCAGTTCACTAGCCTACAACGAGTGTACTCAGTTCACAAGGCTACAATGAGTGTACTCAGTTCACTAGGCTACAATGAGTGTACTTAGTTCACTAGGCTACAATGAGTGCACTCAGTTCACTAGGCCACAATGAGTGTACTCAGTTCACCAGGCTACAATGAGTGTACTTAGTTCACTAGGCTACAATGAGTGTACTCAGTTCACAAGGCTACAATGAGTGTACTTAGTTCACTAGGCCACAATGAGTGTACTCAGTTCACTAGGCTACAATGAGTGTACTTAGTTCACTAGGCCACAATGAGTGTACTCAGTTCACTAGGCTACAATGAGTGTACTTAGTTCACTAGGCCACAATGAGTGTACTCAGTTCACTAGGCTACAATGAGTGTACTTAGTTCACTAGGCCACAATGAGTGTACTCAGTTCACTAGCCTACAACGAGTGTACTCAGTTCACTAGGCTACAATGAGTGTACTTAGTTCACTAGGCCACAATGAGTGTACTCAGTTCACTAGGCTACATTGAGTGTACTTAGTTCACTAGGCCACAATGAGTGTACTCAGTTCACTAGCCTACAATGAGTGTACTCAGTTCACTAGCCTACAACGAGTGTACTCAGTTCACTAGCCTACAACGAGTGTACTCAGTTCACTAGGCTACAATGAGTGTACTTAGTTCACTAGGCCACAATGAGTGTACTCAGTTCACTAGGCTATAATGGGCGTACTCATCAATCTCATCAATGATGAGGCTGCTACAATATTTCCTCCACCGCTCACAGGATGGGGTAAGTTATACTGTTGCAAGGTTAGGTTGCTCATGTTGGCTCATGTTGATGCTGTTGTGGTGTGTACTGTTGTTGCTACTGTTGCGGCTAGTGTTGCTCCTGGTACTGTTGTTGGTACTGCTACTTCTGCTGCTACTGTTACTGTTACTGCTGTTGTTGCAACTGTTACTGTTACTGCTACTTCTGCTGCTACTGTTACTGCTGTTGTTGCAACTGTTACTGCTACTTCTGCTGCTACTGTTACTGATGGTGTTGCAACTGTTACTGCTACTTCTGCTGCTACTGTTACTGCTGTTGTTGCAACTGTTACTGTTACTGCTACTGTTACTGCTGTTGTTACAACTGTTACTGTTACTGCTACTTCTGCTGCTACTGTTACTGCTGTTGTTGCAACTGTTACTGTTACTTCTGCTGCTACTGTTACTGTTACTGCTGTTGTTGCAACTGTTACTGTTTCTGCTGTTGTTGTAACTTACTGTTTTTGTTGCAACTGTTATTGTTTCTGTTCTTGTTGCAACTGTTACTGTTGTTGTTGTTGTTGTTTCTGTTGTTGTTGCAATTGTTACTGTTGTTATTGTTGCAACTGTTACTGTTGTTGTTGCAACTGTTACTGTTTTCCCCTGTTGTTGCAACTGTTACTGTTTCTGCTGTTGTTACAACTGTTAATGTTTCTGTTGCAACTGTTACTGTTTTTGCTGCTGCAACTTGTGATATTGAAGTTGCTGCATTTCCTCCGTTACCTTGTTGTTACTGCTACTGTTGCTGTTGCTTCCGTCGCATCAGAGGCTGTTGCATTTCTTGCAACTGATATTGCTCTACATGCTATTGATCCAGTTGCTATGGCTGCACCTACTCCTGCTATGGCTGCAGCTGTCACTGCATTGCTGCAACCATCACAACTGCAACAGACACCTCTGGAACCATCACAAGTGCAACAGACACCTCTGGAACCATCACAAGTGCAACAGACACCTTTGCAACCATCACAACTGCAACAAACACCTCTGCAACCATCACAACTGCAACAAACACCTTTGCAACCATCACAACTACAACAAACACCTTTGCAACCATCACAACTACAACAAACACCTCTGCAACCATCACCCCTCCAACAAGCACCTCTGCAACTACTGCTCTTGCTTCAACAAATTACTAAAACATTCACATCTTGTACACAAACTACAATAATATCCTCTACGTCAATAACTACAACAACAGCAACTGCTAAAAGCCTAATATATTGTATTTTGATTGCGAAAGCCTAATATATTGTATTTTGATTGCGAAAGCCTAATATATTGTATTTTGATTGCGAAAGCCTAATATATTGTATTTTGATTGCGAAAGCCTAATATATTGTATTTTGATTGCGAAAGCCTAATATATTGTATTTTGATTGCGAAAGCCTAATATATTGCATTTTGATTGCGAATCATGTATAAAAAAAACAGAACGTTGTATAAACGTTTCAGATACAGTTTTCATAAGAAAACCTAAGGTGGGTTCACCCCATTGGTCACTGAGGGTAGAAATATGACGGCCAGGATGTGACGTCACGTCTAATATATCTACTAACGACGTAATTTTGACGGCGTCACGTCTAGGAAAAAAACGCAACTTTAATTTGTATATGGATATCCCTTATCCTCATATCCCTTTGAAGGAAATTTATTTAAAGTAAAATTATATGTGAAAAAATGACAATCCAGGCAGGGTTTTTTTTATATAAATTTTAATGTGTATTTTTGTTCATAAAACTTAAATTTTTATTTGTTGAATGTTAGGGCTAACAAGATATAAGTGAATCTACATTGATTATTTAAGACTGCACTCTTTCAAACTAGTGAAATTCAGGTCGCTATAATACGTATCTCCAGTTAATTTTTGTAAATAAAATAACTGACTTGATTCGCAGTAATATGAACAATTACATCAATTATCTTCTGATCCCCGTGCATGTGAGCTTGTGAAAGTGGGCGTCAGGGGGCCAGATTCACGAAGCAGTTCCACAAGTACTTACGAACCTGGGGCCAGATTCACGAAACAGTTACACAAGTACTTACGAACGTGTACATCTTTCCTCAATCTTTGACGGTTTTGGTTACATTTATTAAATAGTTTACAAGCATGAAAACTTGCCAATCAAATGTTGTTATTGTTATAAACAGACTCCTGGTGCTTCGGAGCTCATTAACTGTTTAATAATTGTAAACAAAGCCGCCAAAGATTGAGGAAAGATGGACAGGTTCGTAAGTGTTCGCGTAACTGCTTCGTGAATCTGGCCCCAGGTGTCTGTTACCCCCATTGACCAACCTGTTCTACAAAGAATGCCGCTTTTCGCTCGTATGCGTTACCTACGGTCAAAAATCGTCGTACTAGAAGATGGAAGCGGCTGCCGAAAGTGACGTATTATCCCGTTTTCTGTTGTTGGTCGACACATTTATTGTTTTTAATTTTTATTTATAAATACAAGAGTTCTGACATTCTTGTTCGGCCACCAGCACGCAGAACATTTTGGGCAAGTGATACTGGTAATGGCTCAAAAGGGCCTCCACTTACGGGCTATTCATGCCCGTGCCACCTTTTGGGTGGCTTAATCTTCATCAATCTTCATCAATCAAGGCCTTAATCCTACTTTCCATACACACACATCCCCAAGAAGTAGCAAGCCTGTAGCAGCTGTCTAGCTCACAGGTACCTATTTACTGC